ACGTGCAATCAATTTACAAATTCATGAATTATTCACACAAAAAACAAATGCAAAGGTTAATGATTTAATTGGCGAGAAATCCATCGTCGCAAACAATTCAAATAATATACAAAACCTCCGAATCCGTTATGAATGAAAAGATCCTTGTTTCTATAAATTTCTGCCGTATTAGTTCTTATTTTTACTACAAGCTTTCGTCTGTTCCTACAGGCATCTTCGGGTATGGAATAGATGTTGTTCTTTGTTTTTCTCTTAGTAATAAAGAGGACAACGAAAATATATGTATTGTTGTATCCGAAAAATGCTATTGGAAATGAGTTATTGTTTTTGGAGCGTGCAATAGCAACGCTGAGTTTGATTTTAACTTTTTTACAGTTGTGCGTTCTTTATGGTGATAAACGAATTTTTTACTGGTAAATTTTCTCTCAAAGTGGCATGAACTATATTGTTCAATAATTACAGTAATGTCGGCACTTGAATCAGTTTTTTAATTTCGATAAACGTGCAATCAATTTTTTATTCACACAAAAACAAATGCAAAGTTAATGATTTAATTGCAAAATCCATCGTCGCAAACAATTCAAATAATATACAAAAACTTGGAATTTCTCGATCCTTGTTTCTAAATTTCACCGTAATTATTTTTCAAGCTTTCGTCTGTTCCTGCATTTCAAATTTTATTGCACGCTCTAAAAACAATAACTCATTTCCAATAGCATTTTCGGATACAACAATACATATATTTTCGTTGTCCTCTTATTACTAAGAGAAAAACAAGAACAACATCTATTCCATACCTGAAGATGTCTGTATTTTAAAATAAGAACTAATACGTCAGAATTTATAGAAACAAGGATTTTTTCATTCATAACGGATTCGGAGGTTTTGTATATTATTTGAATTGTTTATGACGATGGATTTCTCGCCATTAAATCATTAACCTTGCATTTGTTTTTTGTGAATAATTCATGAATATATATATATATTATTTTAAAATATGTTTCATCGCGAAACAGAAATTACCATGTTTCGGAACTTAAAACTGAACTTTAAATTAAACTTAAAATTAAATTTTTTATTCCATTCTCAAGGGATGTTGAATAACTTTCGAAAAAAATTATTTACTTTTTTTAAGCTAACTAGTAATATATAGTTCAAGTTGGAGGGGGGACGGGGTTACAAAATTTTAAAAGGGTGTTGAATTTTTTGACGAATCAGAATACAAGTATAATTTAAGATGGCAAAGTGTAAATATATTAGGTGTGGGTTTGTAATTTCTGCCTGTTAATACTGGCTTCTTTATATAAGGACTTGTCATTCTGTCTGTTTTTCTTTTTTCTAGGGGCATACGTAAAATACACTACAATACATTGGCATTTTTATTTATTTTTATAAAATACATTGAGGCTGCCTTAAAGAGGCTTCAAATATGATTAAATCACATTTATATATATATATATATATATATATATATATATATATATATATATATATATATATATATATATATATTCATAAAGATCTAAAATGCTATATTTATTATATTAGTATACTAGATGCGGTATTGTTAAAATTAAGATTTAAGATTTTGGAATTTCATTATGCATTTTCTTACTTTCTTATTTGTGATCAAATAATAGATATATAATTATGAATCTTTTTTAATAGCTTACGTTTTAAAGTAAACATAATGCAATGCCTACAAAAACAGTTATTTCCTTTCTTTGATTTAATAAATCTTTATTTTTCAGAAGTTTTATAATATAAACTCAATATATAAAACTTTTCGTGTAGGCACAAAGAACATGGCTCATTTAAAGATTTTAGATTTTTTAATAATTTCCATTTTACTCTGGGTGTTTTATTTGTTTCTTTTAAATTCTAAAAGTATTTGGATAGGGATGTTTGGTTACTATACACATTATTTTTGAAGGAAGACAGATGTTGGCTCCACCTAAATTTAAAATTATTTTTAGTGCTACCAATATATATTTTTTTAATATTAGGATAATAGATGAGATAGAACATTGGTAAACTATAAATTCTGTAAAACATTTATTATTCGATAGACAATTTATAGGATTCCTACATAATTTTTCTTTACTATTATCTATTCTTATTTCTGGATAACTATTTTTCTATTCTGGTTTAAGTATTTATTTAAAATTTTATTATTGTATTTTTTATAAAAATACATATATTTTACACACACACACACACACACACACACACGCGCGCGCACACACACACACACACACACACACACACATATATATATATATATATATATATATATAGCTGTAAAATGGTGACGTTTGTGCTTTTGTGAAGAATGACTGACTGACAGGCAAATGTTCATTCAGATAAACTTATTTTTGTTAGACAACGCTATCTTAGCCCAGTTGGCGGGTGGGATGG